GGTCGGCCCTGGCACCCCCCGCAGAGCAGCTGAAAATGGGGCCTGTGGGATTTCCTTGGAGAAGGAGCAGGCCTCAAGCTTGAGGGGTTGTTCAAGCTGTTTTCTTTTTCCACAGAAGCTGAATAAAAGCCTTTTTTCTAGCTTGGGTCCTGTCAATCTGTATGCCCTTGAGTGCCGTGTGTTACTGAAGAAGCTAGTAACTTCCTCGTGTTGCTGATGAGTTAACACATGTCTCTGTTTACTGACCGAGGAAGCTGTGCTGTGAGACTTGTTTACTTGGATTTTGTTTCCTGTTTCTGAAAGGGTGCCAAGTGCCTCTTCTGTGGAGGTTGCCACACGCAGTTCGCTCTGTACTTGTGGAGTCTGGTTTCCATCATGTAACCAGAAAACTGTCTGCCTTTCTGCTGGGCTTCTCTCATCGGAGGGCCCTTCTGTATGTGCTGCAAATAAAGCTGCTTCTGCCTGTTTGACTTGTTGCAGATTGTGGCTGGAATCAAGTACATAATGAAAGTGGAGATTGGCCGGACAACTTGCCCCAAGCCAGCAACTGATCTCCAGAGCTGCGCTTTCCATGATGCACCGCAGATGGCTAAGGTAGGCTCCAGAGCATGGTGTGCTGGCCCCTGGGTTTCTAACCCCTTCCCTCTAGCTGGCTTAGTGCAGAGGGGTATGAGCAGTGTCTCCTGGCTGCCCCAGCCAAGATCAGAGACCTCACGCCTCTACACTAAACAAGATGCTGCCCTTGCAGAACTTGTCTTGCCAGATGATGGTGACAGAGAAGGCAAGGCATTTTAACCTGTTTTATAAGTGGGGACCTGAGGCTGTCGTGCATGGAGGACTGTGTGCCTCAATGCTTTTAAAAAGTGCTTATGGTCTAGAGTATAAGAATATGTGGAAGAAACTCTACCAAGCCTACGGGTCTCCTGGCTGTCAGTCCAGTGCCCTGTGTCCCCATACCATTCTCTGCTTCTGTTGTCTGCTGGTGATGTAAACATGCTTGACTTGACGCACTTTCCTGGGGTTCTTACATTACTGTGAATAGTGCTTTGCGCTAAGCACTGATCACAAAAGGCAGATTACCCCTGTTCTGTGTCCACCAAGCTGTTACATGGGAGTTCTATCTAATAGCAATGCTGTTTAGTACTAAAGCTTTTCAGATGAGAGCACTAAATATGTCTGCAGTGATCTGGCCTGAGTCGTCTACTTCCATAGTACTTTGTTACCTGCATTAATTACAGTGATAGGCTTAGCTTCTCTGTGTGTGTGCCGTTTCTGTCTGCCTGTGTGAGAAGTGTAACTGCACACAAGTGATGCATGAAGCACCTAGCTAGATGCTTGTGCGTACCATTACGACAGCTGCAATGATGGGACATGTGCATGTACAGATTAGCTGTGCGGGTGTGCTTACCTGTGCCTGAGAGCTTATGTTGGAGTGTTACCCATGCTGAAAGCTTTGCTGTGTGTGACTGGGTAAAGGAGGCGACCTGATCTTCAGAAGTGCTGACTACTCAGCTTCTCTGGTGTTTATTTGAGAGAAATGATTCATCCTGAGCAGGTACTAACAAGAGTGGTGTTCTGGAATGCTTACCAGGAGAGTGAAAATCTAGAGAGCCACAGAAGTGGCATGCATTCTGGATCATGTGGGGCAGTAAATCGGTGTAGAACAATGGTCAATGGCACTGTTTTATGCTCTTAATCTGACAACTGCTTTTTCTCTTTCTCTCCTTAGCACACCATTTGCAACTTCGTAGTGTACACTGTTCCTTGGCTAAACCAAATTAAACTACTGGAGAGTAACTGCCAGTAAGCCTACCTTGGTTCCAGAAGAGACCAGCATCCAGTTGCTTAGATTTAAAAGTAAAAACACAAAAGCAATAACACAAATTGAGATGGGCTTTATCAATGCCTGTTAACTCAACTACTTATGTATGCTTGTGCTATGCAAGTCAAACTATGTAACTTTCCTTTAAAGCACAGTATGATCTTAACTTTACTTTTCTTCGTTGTAATTATATTTTAGAGCAGCTGTTTTGGTCTTCCTGCAGCTTTCCCAATAAAGTAACTCCAACATCAGAATTTTGATTTAAAAAAAAAAACAAACAACAAACTTTATCCCTGTTAAGTGACTACTATAAACATAAAAACTTAGTAATTACTGTGATGTGTGGTTTTCTTTGAGCTTCTGCTGTCTTGGCAGGAGGGTTTGCTTTCATTTGTGACCTAGTCTGTCATGCCCGAGGAATGTGGGGCCCTGATCACAGGGGAGACAAACCATTCCTCCCTGTCCTTTAACGTGGCCTCTGGTTTTGAGTAAGACCTGGAAGTCCTTAGCTGTTTCGACTGAAGAAACGCTCCGCTTTTGAAAACAATGCGGTATGTGATGCTTCATCCTGGGGAAGATGAGCCAAAGCTGTTTTGGGAACCCTTGCTTCCTGTGACGTCTGGTTCTCGCCAGTTGCCCTGTTGTGTACCCCAAGCTGTTCTGAGGGGAAAGCCCCAGGGCTTTCCTTCCAGTCCAAGCAGTAGTGTGGCTCACTGCGTTTAGAACCTGAACTGTGACCAGTGGAGCAGGAGGAACAGCTTCTTCCGCACATGTGTCTGGCCTGTCGTAGCTTCTGGTTACAAGCAGAGGTGGGTGCAGATGTGCCAGGAGTGGATGAGAGACTGAGCTGTTCTCTGGCTGTGCGTTAACTGGGGGGAGTTTGAATGATGTCTTGTCTGGAGAAAATAGTCTTTAAATCATCAGGCAGAGAGGATCAGCACCTAAGAACTCTGAAGAGAACTGGTTGAGGTGTTTCCTGTTAAACTGTGATGGATTTGTGTTGCAGGGAAGTTGGGGGTACTGTGCCTGCATTGGGAAGGACATGACCCTGGTAGCTGTAACCTACTTAGCCTGAGGACAGCCTAGTGCAAAACCAGTGAGAAAGTTAGTAACTGGTGTTAAGTGCAGAACTGATAAGAAAGAAGCATCATTATCAGCCAGTGTAGTTTCATAGCAAATGGGTCTTGTCGACAAACCCTGGCTTTGTTCTGTGAGTGTGGATGTTCCCCAGAAGCAACCCTCCAAATCCAAATGCGTGTGCAAGCCCAGTGGCGTCTTTCACGCAGTCAAGTGCATTGCTGCTAGTTTTGGTAAGTACAGTGCCGTGTTTGGGATTGGTGTGAACATCACAGTGAAAGACAGCTCCAGATCTAGGGAAAAAAAAAAATTCTTTTCAATGTCTTGTGATGCGATGTCCCAGAACACAAGTAAAAGAGACAAGGAAGCAGAAGGCAAGTGAGACTGGAGCTTGGGATCGTGCCCAGGAGGTGTCTTTGGGTTTTTACTCCTGGGGTAAGACTGGAAGGAAGGAGCAGGATCCCCTTGGAAGAATTTTCATCTTCAGGTAACAGGGGAAGGTGCTGTGTCAAGAGAAGGAACCTTGGGAGTGAGTGAAGGTGCTGAGGTGAGCAATGGGGATGCTGCTGCTTTTGCATTGTCCTAATAGTGTGTTTCTTGTTTATCTCGTGTCTTTGCTTTTCTGTCTTTTGAAGTAAATGTATTTCTCTTGGTGTAAATCTCACCCAGGGATAAAGTGAGCCCAGTGTTGTGTCATGGCCTATGTTAATTGTCAAGCCCAGGTGTCCTGTGTTGAGGTGTGGTGGTCCTGTTTTGAAAGAAAGGTGGGAGGGGTGCAGAGAAGAGCTGCAGGAGTGAGCTGATGGCTGGAGAAGGCAGCATGAGATGAGAAGTGTAATTATTCTGTTATTTGCCTGAAAAATATTATCTGGAGGAGAACTAATACAACCACATCTTTGGGCGGGGGGGGGGGGCTTGGATCTGATGAAGGAGAGAGAAATGAGAGTAACCAGAAAACAAGCTTCTAGTGGGAAGTGCAGCTCCTTAGGAGCACGCCTGCTGTGGGTTGCTCTTCAGCCCAAGGAAAATGCCACTGCCCATCGTTGCTGGGGTCTGATGAGCTTGCAGTGAGCGCAAGGCCAGATCTTGATTCACGTTGTCAGGGGGATGAGCTGGTTGTCCAACAACAAGAGTCTCCACGATGTGTTCAGGTCTGATAGGAACTATTCCCCCTGCTTCCCCATCGTCATTACCCCGTTCTGTCTGAGTGCTGTGCACAAAGATGGCCCGTTTCTCTTGCCAGCCAGGTCAGTGACCGTGCAAATGTCTGTCTGTTGGGTTGGTGGGTCAGTAGTGCCAAGCTGCTCAGGTGTCCTCACTTCTCACTTTTCTAACTACTCCATTTGTATGTGCTTATTCCCTGTTTTTCAGCCTATCTACACAAGCACTAGGTAGTGGTGAAGGGGCTCCATCACACTTTTGGTGGGTTTGCCCATGTTTCCCTTTTTATCATCTTGGCTTGAGGCCCGGATGGGTAATTGTACTGGTCTCCCTAGTAAGGAGACAAGGCAAGAAATGAGGATGCAGGTGGATGTAACCAGGTATTTTCACCACTTTAGCTGTATTTATTAGCCAGCGGCTCCGAACAGTATGTGAGAAAGAGTGGCCGTACCAGAGAAGATGAGAGTTTGGGCATTATGAGCTCCTGGATTCAAAGGTATTGCGTTCTCGTGTTGAAATACCAATGACTAAGGGCACAAACGAATGGCACAGATTACCCCATCCTCACAAGCTGCTGAGTGTCAGCCTTGATGATTGTCCCTATGTGCTCTGCACTCAGAGCAAATGCCAAAAAAGGCTGACCTAATTTAAGCGCCTTCCACTGTGGGCCGTGTTGCTTTGCATTTGCAACAGGTTAAGAGCATTAGTGGCGGTTCCCCTGCCAAGAGCTTTTTGCTTGGCAGGTCTTTCTGCTTGGCTGGCCGGCAGTAGCTCGGTCAGCTGAATGCTGCGCCCTCATTTTTGGCTGCATTTGCTGCCTGACTTTTTCAGATGGTGGTGACAGACGTGAACACGTGACAGCAGAAGTACTTATTTCGTGTTGTCTCTCGTTATGCTTTGCTTGTGTCTGACTGATCAATTCTGGGCTCGTGCTTCCTTAAACTTCAGGGGTGGTCAGAGCTTTGCTGCTGCTACAGCTTGTGAGCCCAAAGCTTTTTCCTGGCTCTGGGACTCGGGGAGAGATTGAGCGCCAACCGGCTGAGAAGTGCAGCTCTGCTCAGCAGTGCCCGCACCTGCAGACCCGTACTCACATGGACTTGTACCTCCCAGCTCCGCAAAGCGCAGCGGAGACACAGAGCTGTGAAAGTCATGACGTTTTTGGAGCCTGTGGGCATTATCGGTGCACCACAACTATGGTACGCTCAGTTGAAGATAACAGGGCGGTATCCTCATTAGTGTGAACAAGCAGAAGTCGTGATCCCACCTGACCAGGCTGGCAGCGTTCAGCCTATCTGGCTTTTTTGAAGGGCATCTTACATGCGAGACAGTCTGTGATAAAAAGCAGCTTTACCATGAAAACTAAAGAGCTCAGACAGTGCTGAGAAATGGGGTAGAGGTTACCTTTGGCTTTTTTAGATTATCTGTGACCCTCACCCACATACCTCCTTTGCCCATGGCCCAGGAGCTCATTTAAGCTTAAGCCTGTGTCCCCTGTCCAAGCTGCATTAGATGTGTCCTTATCTCCAGCCCTGGCTACTTTGTGGGTGTTGGACTTGCCTTGTAGCTTTGTCTCCAGAGCGGGTCCCCTGGAGGGACCCTGGTCCCGTTTCGTCCTTTTGCCGTGTCTGGGGCTGTTGATGGACCCTGTCCCACCCCTGGCTCTGCCAGCTGTGCTGAGACCCCCATGGTGAGGGCATGGCCAGGGCTGAGACCCCCTAGGCTCCTGGCTCAGCCCATCCTGGTGCTGCTCCATGGGACTTGTTCCTGCAGGGTCTTTCCGAGATTCTTCAAGCTGTCAATACTCCTGTCAGGTACAGACACTTCCCTCTGCACACAGCCTAAATTGCAATTTCCTGAAATTATGAAAACAAATGATCATGTGAAGATTCAGGTCACCCTGCAGCCCTAGGGCTGGGCCACCCAGTGCTGTTGCCCATGTGCATTTGCTTGGGTTGTAGGATATTGCTTAGCCTGAGGCATGGAGACTTCTTCGTGAGTGTTCGAAGATGATAGGTTGTTTGTATTCATTGTTAACATGTGATGCCTTAGAATTGCTGTAGTGAGATCAAATTTACTGATCAAACCCATACCCATGTTTTGAATCTTGATGCTTTATCTCCTGATGATGACACCAGAGAGGTAAGACTTCAGATCCCTTTCCGCACCGGATGCAGTGGTGATCTGGAGATCACTTCCACAGGGCCGAACAGGAAAGTGTTGTAAGTTGGTTGCTGCTGATGGTGCTGGGCCCCTCCACAAGTCTTGTCCCTCAGTTTTGGTGGTGGCCTGCTGGTGAGAAGGTGGGAGGGCTGGTTTCTGGTTCTCTCCAGGGAGCATGATCCCAGGCTCGGCAAGGAGGGGTGAGAGGAGGACCCTTGGTGCCCACCTGCCTTGATTGAGAACAATAGCCAACCCACAGGCTCTGCAGTGCAAATCCCTCTCTGCTGTACCTCTCTGACCCAGGGCATGGCTCAGTATGGTGGTGGACCCTGGGGTAGGACCGGGGACTCAAGGTGACACTTGCTAAAACCTCTCTCCCATGTCATTGGGATGGCATTGCTCAACCTCCATGACCTGGTAGGGTCCTACTGTAAGATTTTGCAACAGGGAAGAAAAGGAGAAGTTGAGCCACTCGTCTCCGTGATAAGCTGGTGCGTGAGTGTTGGTGTGTGCTGTTTGTGACCCTGCCAGTGGTGGGTGTGGGTATGTGCATCAGACTGATGGTGGGGAAACCCTTCTCTGCTTCC